AAAAAAAAAAAAGGAATGATCTATATGGGATCAAATTGATAACAGCAGCTCAAAAGATTAGATCTGAACCTTAGAGGGCAGTGAATTTATGTTAATGAGGGAGGAACAACTCAGAAAAGGAGGGTGTGAATGGTAGCACAACACAAAGAATGTAATCAACATAAATAGACATGTAGAAACTGTTGAATTGGTATAGGTTTTGCTGTGTATATTCTCAACAACAAAATAAAATTATATTTAAAAAATAAATTCTATTGAGTTTATTTGTAAATGATTTTGACAAAGCAATCATTTGTGTATTAGTTATTCTTTTTTATGATGTACTTCTCTTTCAATTATTTCAAATTATAAATAAACGCCAAACCAAAAAACAAACTCACCACCGTCGAGTTGAACCCAACTCATAGCAACACCTCCTTGGGTTTCCGAGGTGGTATCACTACAGAAGTAGACTGCCCAACCTTCCTTCCAAGGAGTAGCTGGTGGGTTTGAACTGCCAGCCTTCTGGTTAGCAGTCAAATGCCTTAGGCACTATGGCACCAGAGCTCCATAAATAAATGTGGGGATTGATAAAATGTTTTAATGTATTAGTTAGCAGTTATTTCTAATTATTTCTCCTTGTTGATTAAACTATTAAGCTATCTCCCAAAAATTTTAGTGTATTAAATCAAAGTATTAATAAATATACTTACATGGTATATATGAGGCCATGGTTATAAGAAGAAAATAATAGTAGTCAAAAGAGACATTGTATTTGTTTGGAAGTCTTAGCGAAAACATCCCCGATTTCTTCACATATGGTAATGCTGCATATATTGTAAGAAGTTCACCAGCAACTCCAACAGGATATAAGATGATAAAGAAATTATATCTGGGGAGAAAAAACTTCACAGAATTATTTTTATAGAATAATTATGGCATTTATTATCATGATTCTTTTGCTACTACTATCTATCAACTTTAAAGTTCTCTTTTCTATATAGACTAACAATAACCTCACATAAAATTAATTCTTCCTACTCTAATCATTTCTTTATTTATCACTTTCTTTTGCTCATAGCAGTTTCAATTTTGAATGGCAAGATCTTAATAAAATAAGTCAACTGACTTTATTGAAATACTTTTATATGTTTAAAAATGACGATGAAGCTTTTTTTTTTTTTTTAAAGTACTGTAAAGGTAGCTTTGATGCATGAAGTCATAATGATTTCGTTTTCCTGCCAGTCATTTATTGGCCAACTGATGTGTTTAAAGATCAATTATGATCCTGATTGTGTTTAAACCTTGAAATTACCAAAGTACTTCTTAAGAGACATTTAAAAAACTTTTTTAAAAAAATTAAAAGACACTAACTCTGGTAGCATAGTGCCTAAGGCACTTGACTGCTAACCAGAAGGCTGGCAGTTCAAACCCGCCAGCCACTCCTCGGAAGGAAGGTTGGGCAATCCTACTTCCCTAGTGATACTGCCTCGGAAACCCAAGGAGGGGTCGCTATGAGTCGGGGCCAACTCAATGGCAAACAACAACAACAACAACAACTACTACTACTATTACAGAAAACTGATAGCTACTGAATGACTATCTCAAACTGCTTTCATAAAGCACAATATTTCATTTGCCTTGTGGCAAGTGTCTAACAATATACCAGTCACTATTTATGCCTATAGTTAGGAATACCCCACTCTCTATTGTCTCCAATAATAAGAGCCTAAAGGACCTCTAAGACATTGAAATTTCTCCATAAAAGAAAAACATTTTCAGCAAGTCAGTTACTCTGTAGTAGTTACCACAGAAAATTAAAATAAATAAAATTAATTCATATTTTATTTAATCATTGTGTTGGCATTAAGAAATAATTGTAAGGAAAAGTCAAATTAGTATTGTTGGAGCTTGGAGACAACTTAAAAATCACTTTATTTGTATACACCAAGAATACAGTACGATAAGAGACTGGGGAGGGAGGAGCAGAGTTATTTATCAAAATAGAGTAACTGGTGATGAAAGAAGAATAATCCCTTCACTTTACCTGTCCATTCTCCACCCCTTACATCCACCCCAAATTTCCTTGGATATACTCCTTTGTTTCTTACCAATCTTTTTTCAGGGTTTGTTTAGTTTTTTTTTCATAATTTTAATAAACTATATCTCAATTTTAAAAATCACATAACTAGACAGTTTATATTCCCTTCTCAAATAGTAAAATTGATTTTTTTTACTTTATGGGGCTCTCAAATGATTTTTTTTTTGGGGGGGGGGTAGTACTGTAGTTTAATAAAGAAAAGAACAACTTACTATTTCTATAATAAACTAGTTTAAAGTCTTAAGGTCAGTGAAAATTTTCAATGAAATTGGAACCAATTACATAATTTGAATTTACATGCACTTTTTAAAAAACATTTCAGAGGCGGGGCAAGATGGCGGACTAGGCAGAAGGATTGCACAGACCCTCTTCAACAAAGAAAAGGGAAACCAATTAACACAGACACAGAAG